CGAAACAAAAACTGAAAAGTAAACAAATGAGAAAAAAAGCCAACGTTCAACCTTGAAACATGCCAGAAAAAAAAAAAAAAATTACAACAGTGTTACAGGTTGAATTGTGTTGCTTCTCCATTCGTACATTGAAGTCCTGACCCCCAGTGGCTTGGAATATCACTATCTTTGGAGATAGTGTCTTTAAAGAAGCAATTAAGTTAAAATGAGGTCAGTGGATTGGGTTCTAATCCAATATGCTTGATGAAAGTTGGACACAGACACAGGGAGAAGGTGGCCACCTATAAGTCAAGAAGGAAGGTGTCAGAGGTCAACCCTGCTGATACCTCGATCTCAAACTTCTAGCCTCCAGAATAGTGAGAAAAAAAATTTCTGCTGTTTAAGCTACCCTGTCCGTATTATTTGTTGTGGAAACCCTAGAAAAACTAATACGACGATTATAAAATTGGGCAATGAACTAATGTATCACGTCTTTAGGCCGAGTTCACTGAGGCAGCACTTCAGAAGTTTGGTTTAGGGGTGCAGGTTTTCAGATCTCAGTCCACTGAACTGGCGGATCAGTAAAATAAGACTCCTCCTGATTAATTTGCTGTGTCTCAGTGTCTTAGAATTTGAAATCAAAGTTAAGTAGAAGCAATTGTAGTGCAAAAGCCTAAACAGCTCTCTGTCTACGGAGGTGGTTAGAGGAGGTGAGAGTCATGCTCAGCGTCATGCTTCTAGCTTCCAGGGCTCACCTGGGTGGCCAGGACTCCCGGGATCTCCAGGGACTCCCTCCGGTCCAGCAGGCCCTGAATGTCCAGGTGCGCCGGGCGGCCCTCTTTCTCCTTTCTTTCCCACGGCACCTGGCAATCCTGGTTCCCCCTTAAATTCAGTCAAACACCTTTAAAATTCTCATATGAGCAGGATGTGGGATCAGAATTAAGTGTAAACTGTGTTCGTTTGCATTTATTTGTTTGTTTGTTTGTTTGACATTCATATTAAGTGTCTGCTATGGGATAAGTGCTGGGAACAGGAAGGCTACGTGATTTGTGGGGCCCAGCACAAAATGAAAATTCGGTTCTCTTTTAAAGTGATGTTAAAGCAGTCCAAGATAGCAGTGGCAGAGCATTACATGAAGCATGGAATCCCGCTTAGCTCCCAACCTCTGTAGCTACATGAGTTGCGTACCCATGAAGCTGGCTCTCACCAGGAATATAATAATAATCGTATACGGATAGGTGATATATACAGTCTCCGCCTTCATGGAGCTTTAGAGACCAGTGGGGAGCTAGAAAATAATCAAATGTATAATTTCAAATTCTGATGATTAACTCAGGGATAAGAAAGAAATAGATCAAATGGATATGTGTCCTACGAATACTATGCATACAGATAAAAGTATGTCAATCACATGTAAAAAAAATCCTTCAATGGTTTAATATTCATTAAATCTATTCTTCAGTTTTATGATAAGCCAGCACGTATGGATTTGATGGTGACTGACAAAATCTCCATAGTAGCTGATTAAAATATATTATTCTGTTACTGTGATTTACCAGCATGGTAAAAACAGCTTCTTTTGTGTTCAATGCACAATTTAAAAAATTTTTGTGGTTACCTATGAAAACTCTAAATCTAAATAAAACTATTAATTAACTGAATGTGAATTAAGTATAAAATGATCCCTCACTGAGAAAATATCTCAGCGGAAAGAGTCTCTCCCTGGTTTTCTGAGGATTTAGTCTAAAAATAAATATGGAAATTTATTTGTGCTCCAAGTTATTTTCTTGAGTCTGTGTGGCTTCTAAAAATTTTCTTTCCTTATATGGTAGCTGAAGGAAACTGGACTTTGGGTGGTAAACACACAATAGAATATACAGATATTAAATTATAATGTACACCTGAAAATTATATAATTATATTAACCAATGTTACCCCAATAAACTTAATTTACAGCTGATTCTTTCCTATTATTTTTAGAAATTACTGATGGAAAACATTATTGGTGGAAATCTTTAGGAACGGTGATATTTTATTGGCTCAAAACAGAGTCAGGGAAAAGACCCCCTAAGTAACAAGTTTTATATATTTTGGAGTCATAGACTCTTGAACATCTGATAAAAAATACAGGCTCTCCCCTACAAAAATTTGCATTTTTCTTTTCTTTTTTTTTACGTTCAATTTTAGGAGATTAGCAGGCTTCTTTGGATTCCATAGACTTGTTTAGGGGTCCATGGAATTCCGTGTTAAAACCCCAGCTTATGGAACTTCTATTAATCAGTCATTCTCTAGTGGTCAAGCTCTGACCCAATATAACTGCTATATACACAAAGGTTGAAAGGAAATAAACCTAAAAAAAAAAACAGCTGACCCCCACCGAAACATTTGGTTGCTGCTCTCAGTACAACAAGCTAGCAAAGGCTTCAAAATACAACCTCCAGTTAACAGAGCACAAGCACTGAGAACACTCAGACAAGATAAAATTCTGTGTAATGATTTGAAAATGGTTAAAGTTTCAAAACAATTAAGAAAGATAAATGTATGTATCTTAGGATGGTGTTTGCTTTTTAATGATGCTCTGAAGTTATTTTACATCTTTTATCATGGTTTAATAAGTCAAGTGTTTTTGGTTACAAGGTTTAGAACTTTATTTTTGAAAGTCTGTGTGAGATGAGTACACAGCAGAGATCGGCAACTTTATAGCACAGGAAAAAGAAACACGGCTGTCAGATTGCGTGGACCTCTGATCACTGCCTCCTTCTGGCAGCACACTTAAATTGCAGGAACAGTTATGAGAAATTCCTTGGGAGTTGAAATTAACTGTGGGGAATAAGTTCAGAGGTTGACAGCCATGTGATAGATATCCTCAGTTGTGGAGATAGGACATAAAAAAAACTAAATAACTACCTGAAAATATAATATTTTCCATTTTTTTTCCCTATCCACATTGAATCCATATACTTGTTGATATTTAAAGAGACTCTTAGTCCACCACCAAAATGTAAATACTTCAGTGGTCTATATACCTTTGGTCCTGGTGGTCCTGGCCTTGTACCTTCTGAATAACCTGGCTCTCCCTTATTTCCTTGGAGACCATGAATACCTGGGAGACCTGGTCTTCCAGGTGGACCTGGGAGTCCCAAAGTTCCCTTCTTTCCTTTAGTTCCTGAAATTAGGAAAGAAATTAGGTAAAATGGGTAAACACAGGGATCTTGAAATGTTCTACTTCTGGCTTTTGTACAAATCGTCTTTCTCCTAGGAAGTTGGCTTTTTCTGAATCACTAATGCATCAGGTAGCATAATGAATGATGTTTACGCATGTAAATATTTTTTTGTTCTCACTCATGTTCTATAATTGCCCCATAATACATTTGTCTAAAAGTAAATGTAGTTATTTTACAACAACTTTCTACCAAGTGGAAAAACGAAACAACAAACAACACAGAAAATCTAGAATTGGGAACTCATCGTGAGCTCGTAGGCTCATAACTGGAGTGTATACATTACCTGGCACCCCCATGTTCCCCATACTTCCTGGCACACCACGTGGTCCTGGTTCTCCAGGATTCCCAGTGCTGCCTGGATCTCCTCTGGGGCCTTGAGAACAAATAAATAGTTATATGCCCTGCATAGTTCTTGGACACAGTAGGTGCTCAATAACTATTTGTTGCTTGCATGAATGAATGAATGCACCCAGAGCAGCAAAACTAGCTGGTTTAAATACTAGTTTAGATGCTTTTTAAACTTCATATAAGGAGGGTACTAAGAACCCAGAAAATGTAAACTTAGAGAAAGTTGGATTCTTGTCAGCAGGCTTGGATTTCAAACATCAAAATCATCCTAGGACCAATGCTAGCAGAAAAGAGGGTCCCTTGCAACAGTATAGTAATAGATTTCTATATTGAATATGAAATTTTATGATCACGTAATACATTTTGTCACTAATGTGATTATAGAGAAAAGAGCGCTACTTTAATTGTTTAAAAAATTACGTCAAACAATAACTTGTTTAAAAAAGTTAGAGGCAAATTTGAAAACCTCTAAAGCATTACCTGATTTTCCTCTATGATATGTGATATTGTGATAAATTATTTATAGTACATAATAGCAGTTTCAAAATAAGATTTTTAGTACAAAATGGAACTTCAGGTAGGTTAATTATACATATATATGTGTGTGTATATATATATTATATATGTATATATATATATATATATACACTAAATATACATATATTTAGTTAATACAGGCTAAGTATAAACACTTTCAGTTTGGTTGAATTTAAAAGCAAATTTCTGTTGGAACACTGTTGGAGCAGAATTCATATCTGACCCAGTAAATCTAGAAACACATTTTTGTTACATTTAGATTTAGGAAAATTTAAAACCTGATGTTTCTATTAGAGAATCAGCTATACCTGGTGGTCCTGGTGGTCCGGGGGGCCCTTCGAGTCCTTGGAAACCTGGTAACCCTGGAATGCCTCTGTCTCCTTTCTCCCCCGGCCTTCCTGCAAATCCTAAAGTTAAAAACCATGTATTAAAAATACAGGTTATAATTTTATCAGAGTTATCGGCAATCAGATGAAAATTGATGAGCTATTATTACAATATAGCATAGCATATTTATAAAGAGCATGGGCAGATGTGGACATATCTTTTAAAAAAGAAGATTAAATGAGATAATATGTATAAATCATTAGCACAGTGGCTGGCATGACTTAGTTCTCAAAGAAAACTAGCAATTATCGTAATATTAACTCTTTAAACACAGACTGTAGCTTCTTTTTTTTATGATTTTTAATGTTAGTAATGATAGGACCATATACCACACTATTTCTGTCTAGACTATTCCATTCTCAATCCATTAATTATAACTATCATATATTAAGTAACTAGTATAAGACAGACATTATTTCCTTTTCTAAATATTATTTAACCTGCAGGCAATCTCTGTCTATCCTTTCTCGATTGGGTGTAGAGGTGGGAAAACTGACTCTAAGAAGTCAGTGGACTCACCTAGAGTCTCACCGTCAATCAGGGATAATTTTGGGATTTGAACCCAGTTCTGCAGTTGGGAAAGCTCATAAACTTCCCACAACACCACCCTACTATTGTAAAACATGGCTTTGAGCACATTATTTTTCCGCTCAAAAATATTCCTCGAATCTATTATATACAGTGTAAATTACAAACTTCTTCCACTGGCCTTTGAAGCATTCTACCATCTATGGCCTGGCTTTATGACTTTTCTTAAGCAGATTCACTTTCCTTGGCTGTTTTCCTGCTTACATACTTATTTATTCATATGGGTCAAGCATCGAATTAATAGACAGGTCTTGTGCCGAGTACTGGAGACATAAATCATGTTCCCTTTCTCCAAGTTTTTAGCGTTTTGCGGGGAGATAGCCAAGTAAACAAACAATTGCCACCTGATGCGCTAAGTTCTGTAACAGAGTTGGGCGCAATATGCTACAGGGAAGAATTTCTGGAAGAGGGGATATTTTCTTAGCTCAGTCTTGAAGACCAGGTGGGAGCTAGCTGGGTAGAAAAAAGCATGGAATGGGACAGGATTCTCAGGCAAGAACATAGCATTTGCGAAGGAGTGGTGAGTACCCAGTGTATTTGATTATTTTCTTTGTTAACTTTTGTTTTTTCCATTTCCATTATGATTTATCATCATCTAAAACTGTATATTTAGTGTATTCATTCGCTTTGGGTTTTTAGGGGTTAACTAACTACAGCCTGCCGGCCAAATCTGGCTTGGTGTGGTATGGCTGGAGAGCTAAAGATGGTTTTTACATTTTTAAAGGATTTGTAAACAAATAGAGAAATGAACACTAAAGAAGAATCTGCAACAAAGACCATATGTGGTCCACAAAGCCTAAGATACTCACTACTTGGCCCTATACAGGACATGTTTAAAGATCCATCAGTGTCTCTTTTCCCCACACTGAACTGTAAGTTCAAGACCAGGATACGCCCCCTGCCATGTTCATTTCTGTGTCGTCAGGACACAGTAAAATGCCCAGTTAATAGATATTGAAAAACGATTATTGAGTAAATAAATGTCATACAGCTGGAGAGATAGGCAAAGAGCAAGAGGTAAAGAAGCTGATCTAAGACGTTTGGATTCTGCGAAGTCCTTCCTAATTCTGGGAAAGACGACTACTCAGCTTTTCTCCTGCGGTCTACAGAACCCTGTAGAATTTTTCTTAGCAAATCTTTACCTGGACTATAAGTCTTCACGTGCCAAGCATATAAAAATTTGTTGAACACAATTTCGCTTCTCAAAATTTGTTACAAAATACTCAAAACTTAATATGGTTTTGCAACTGGAAACACATTTTTCCTTTATTCTTCCCTGCTATGAAAGTTTGATTTGCAAACACTTCATTTTACATAGAAATTCTGTTTGTTTTATTTTTTAATTACTTGGGATTAAAATTGATCAAGAAGATCATAATTAGGCTTTCTTAAAATTTGATTTTATATTGGTTGTATTGATCATATAACAAAAACTGTCACAGAAAGAGCTCAAATAACTTGAAATAATTTGATTGGGTTTGAATTTTAGTTTAGTAGCTACAGTTAATAACAACATTCCAAAGCATTAATTTTCAATTAAAACATACTTTCTTTTTAATAATTATTCTCCAAAGGATTTTGAGCATGAGAAGCAGTTTTTAGATGCAATGAGAAAAATTTATCTCAACAGTTGATGGAATAAAGTAGAATTTGGGGTGGAGGTTTCTATTTCAGCCAGGGAAGGTTTTCATGTGGCATTTCCTAAGGGTTTAATTTTCTCTTTCACTTGGCAAAAAGGGGCTTTGGGGGCTTATCATTTAAAATTGACAAGTGACAATTTACATACAGCACACCAACATGCAGAATTGACTTAGAAATAAAAAGTTATGCCTTAAGGAGGCAACATATTATTATGCAAGGCACACAAGACCCAGTTCTAGTCCAGGCGTGGGCCACCAAATGGCTGTGTGACTGTGGGCAGGAAACTAAACACTGGCCCTTACTGTCCTCATTAGCCAACCATGAAGATTTGCCTTGATAATTCTTGGTCAGAGAATCAGCTCTGATGTTCTGGTTCTCAGCATAAGGCAGTCTCTACCTTTGAGGCCTGGTTCCCCTTTGTCCCCCACTAAGAGGGATATTTGAGAAGGCCCAGGAGGTCCTTTGTCCCCTTCTTCCCCCTTGGCTCCTGAAGGTCCTCTCTCACCCTTCGCTCCGGGAATTCCAATGCTACCTATAAGATAAGAATAAAAACAGCAGTTCCTTAATCCTTAAATAACTCATAAGGATTCAGACGGCAATGGTGCTTGCCATAGAACGAAATGAAACAAAGAAGCCAAAACGGTTAACAGTACTGACAACTTGAGAGTTTCCTCAAACAAGCAGCCCCATAACTGAAGCATATAAACCAGCACAGAGAAAATATGATCCCATTCGAATGGGAAAAAGAAATACAGACAACAGCAAAATCAAATACACGGTTCTCTCAGAACTATTTTCCTCACAAAGAATAAAAAATAATTCATTTTACTGTTAAATAAATGAACATCGTTTGCGCTTCCTGTTTGCTGGGAAGCCCCGCATCACTCACCCTTCCGTCCCGGGGGGCCTGGGTTCCCAGCAGGCCCCGGAAGGCCGATGTGTCCAGGATAGCCTATCATCCCAACGGTTCCTCTTTCACCTGTGGAAACAAAGTGACGCAAAGCAGCACATGTTGTGCAGAATGAGAAATGCTCCTTAAAATAATGCTCCATAAAACAATGTAAATCATACTTAGAAGGAAATATTGGGAGTTGAGGAAATGGTTTCTGGAAAGAGGAAAATAACCACATTTGGGTCGGTAAATGGCCTTTGCTACATCCTATAAAAGTCACTGGTAGCAAATCACATTTGTGGATGAGAACAGACTATATTGAAATTTTGGAGCATTCTCTCCTTTCAATCCATGACCAATAGCTTTCTGTGATAGTCCCTTATTTTAGTTTCTTTACGGCAGTTGTCTAGAGTTAAACTTAGTTTTCAAATCTATTTATTCTCATCTCCCTCACTGTTGGAGGTGAAGTCTTGTCCACCAATGTGTCTTTATGGCCTGGAACTCTGCTGGCACATGATAGTAGCTTAATAATATGAAAGAAAGAATAATTTGCAGATTAAGTTGTTATTCTGGGTTCTTCTCTGAAAGAAAGATCAGTGAGGTTCTTATGCATGCAGAGACTATTGGAATATTTTTAACAAATGTATAAAATATAAAAATAGTGATGAAATAAAAATAACTATGAGACTACTACAAACAATGATATGCCAGCAAATTACATAATTTAGATAAAGTGGACCAATTCCTAGGGAGGCATAGATTACCAAAACTGACTAGAGAAGAAATAGAAAATCTGAATAGACCCATAACAAGAAATTGAATTAGTAATTTAAAAACTCCCCAGAAAAGAAAGCCTAGACCTAGATGACTCTGTTGTTGAATTCTACCAAAAGTTTAAAGAATATCTATTCTTCACAAACTCTTCTAGAAAATATGAGGAAGAAACATGACCTGTCTTGTTCTGTAAAGCCAGCATTACTCTGATACCTAAACCAGACATTATAAGAAAAGAAGACAGACCAGTATGCCTTATGAATATAGATGCAAAAAAATCTCAACAAAATACGAGTAAATACATTTAACTAGTACTATAAAAAAGATTACACAGCAAATATCGTCATATTCTAGGAAGTTGTGAAATGTGATCATCCCACCACCACCATTTTCCTGCCCTCTGGCCCCTTACAAACAATTCAGAAGAAAAAACTCATACTAACGGAAAGAGAAGCATAGAGTCAAAAGCCTATGCCTATGTCCAGTTTATACAGCCACCTGAAAAGGAAAATGTGGAGGAACACAGTAGAAGAACAGTAAAAGCACCAAAAAAAAGATACCTGGTGGCCCTAAAAATCCTGGATTTCCTGGATATCCTTTTTGACCAGGTGGTCCCATCTCACCTCGACGACCCGGTATTCCTGGTGGTCCAGGTTCTCCAGGAAATCCTGGCCTATCCAAGCCTGGAATACCTGGGTCTCCCTTTAGTCCTATTTCACCTCTTCTGCCTATATTTGAATGAAAGAATGAACAAATGAATGAACGAACACATAATTACATTCCCCACCAACTCCAAAAATATTTTATGGCTGTAAATATTTAGCCGTGTGATTTTGAGCAAACCACATTCTTACTAGGTTGATTCATTTACATCCCCTTCTATAAAATCTTTAAGATCTGTTTTGGCTTTGACATTCTCTGTTTCAATGACTCATGCAGTAATAAGAATGTAGAATTTAGATCTACTTTCTAGTCCTGCTGGTACATCCTGGGACTGCACTTTATGACTGTGGCTCAATCTTTAGCTTGCAGAATATATTCAGAGCCACCCACACGGAGCGAGCCACCAGATACTTCTGGGAACAGTAAGAACACCACTGCAATTAACGTCCTGGCCACAGATTTGTTTGTGTGAACACATTAAGTACTGTGATAGCCCACAGGCATTAGCTGAGTTCTAAAGGATTTTCCCCCGTAACAGATCACAGATCTCGCTGAGAGGAGCCGAAAAGATGGAGCAAATTTCCATTATTTGGACCATCTAATCTGCATAATTTTTTATTTTTTTATTTTTAAAATTTATTTATTATTTTTTTTATGGCGACATTGGTAAACAAAATCCAGTAAGTTTCAGCTGTACACTCTAACAGTAGTCTGCATAACTCTGATTTATTTTCACACCCTTCTTTTATGTTGTTTTAAAGCAACTAATTACATACTTCAGTTTATAACTTGTTAAATGGATATTTTTGCATACCTTCACTCTATTTTAATAATAAGGATAAATTTACCACTTTAATATAATTATAAAGGTAAAACCTTTTTCGAGTTTTATATATATATATATATATATGTAATATATATATGTAAATATACATCTACCTAAATAAATATATATGTAAATATATATCTACCTACATATTTAGTGTTCATATTTCTTGCATACAAAGCACAGACAACTTTCTACACTGACTTGAAGTCTCTCACTCTACAAGTGGTACTCACTGCAACGAATCCGTGGCAACAGGTTTATATTTCTGAAATAGCATTTCCCACTGAACAGTGGTCAGATCTTATTGCTAGAAACTTCTGATGTTAAACAGCAAAACACACAGCAGCAGTCCCATGCCGCTTGTCCATCTAGTGACTGGTCCAGAGGGCGTCCTCTTACCTTGTTGCCCTTTCAATCCATTTAAGCCCGGAAGTCCTTGGGCTCCCCTGGGACCCACTGTGCATCTTCCTGGGAGTCCTTTTTCTCCAGGTGGTCCAGGCTGCCCTGGATCCCCTGCAAAATAGAGCCCAAGAATATAATACATTCAGGTGCCAAAACCCAAGGTCTGAGTACTGCTATCCCAACCATTCTCCTGTAACTTTCTCCCCCAAACGGGACCAATATTTAATATCATTAATGTGCCTTATGTACAGGACCCTCAGGAAGACGGAAAGATGGAAGGAAGAAAGAAAGAAGAAACAAAGGTAGGGCAATAACGTTGAATAGAAAAATAATTAGGCCCCACGGCTTCTATTTATTGCTCTAGAACTTTGAGAATTCTCCATCCCCAAATATTCGATTTGCTGCATTTTACGAGCTCACAGTGGAGAAAAGTAATTGCTCTTGTACCTCGTGGTCCATCAAGCCCTCCAGTTCCCGGAATTCCAGGGAGACCTGGAAATCCAGGGAGTCCAATTTCTCCATTTTCCCCAGAATTGCCTTTTTCTCCTGGAAAACCTGGTATTCCTGGTTCTCCAGGGATCGCTAGTCCTGGTTCTCCCTATGGCACAGAAATTATGTTAGTTGTACTACATGATGCTGCCCAAACCCTATTGATTATTGACTGGACTTTGGCTGATTATTGGTTGTTTACTTGAAAATAATATCTCCATTACGGAGGTTCTAAGTCTGTTTTGCACAGTCACCACTATTCCATCAACTTTCCTTTTCAATTCTAGTTGCTGACTTTTCCATAAAACTATGCTTGATAATTCTTTCGAGCTTCCACTTTTTCTGAATACTGTGGAATTTTCTGTAAAGTCTAGATGTCTCTTCTCTTGATAGTTTTTCTCATAGCTATCCATGTTTCTTTTGAGAGTTCTCCCATTTAAAATGCTCTGAATGTTTCTGAAGACTAAGAGAAGAATAGATAAGCAAACCTGTCTTCTAATTCCTTCTATTTTCCTTCCTAAAAGGGGTGGGGTGGGGTGGTGGTTCAAGAAACTTTAGACAAATTCAATATCTTCATCCTATACAAATACATTGATAATTTCTATACACAGAGCATCCTGACTGGCAGAAACATCCTAACTGGCCAACTGTGAGTGCTCATCCTCTCCCCACATCAGTCTGAATTTTAATTCTCAAAGACCTTGTCTCCTGGGACACCTGGCTTTCCAGGTAACCCTGGCTTTCCCATTTCTCCAGGACAACCTGGTGATCCTTTTGTTCCTGGAAAACCTCGGTCTCCTACAGAGAAAAAATAAAGGTTGTAGGATTAGTCTCATCAAAAGATTCTGAACAGTATCTCTCTTATTTTATCTGATGTTTTTTGTGAGGCGAGCAGCTGTAGATGTTTTTATGAAAGCTTGAATAATGAGAAAGCCAACTGCTAAATTAGCAATTAAAAAAAAGTTCAAATCCAAATCAGGTTACATTGGTTCCCAATTTAAAAAATTACCTTCTCCATTTCTGTGGGTTAGCACCACTACGATTCTGATTCGACAATTTTTTAAACTGCTGATCCTGATTGACCATTTGGCTGACTTTTTTTTTAAAAGTATATTATATATTTAGTGTACAGCCAGATCAATATTTACATGTGTGTGTATATTTATGTGTATACTAAATGTAAATGTATACTGGCTGTACACTAAATGTAAAATATACTTATAGATCTATCTATATCTATGCAAGTGTGGCCCAGATAAAGATATAAAGCATTTCTAGCATCCAGACAGACTTTTTCAACATGGCTTGCGCAAGAGAACTGCCTAGCACTTTAAATAATATTGAACTTTATAGCAGCCATTGACGGTAACTAATTAACTTCTCATGCATTCATGACAGGAGCACTAAGAAAGGACTCACACACATCATTTTCTCTATTCTGTGGTTCAGAAAAGGAAATGCTTAGAGCAAAGCTATGCTCAAACCATTTCTTGGTGCCCCTAATTTGACCAATTTTTAAATAACACTTAGTTCACGAGATTCATTAGGTTCAACTGGGAAATTTTGACTCTGCTTTCAAGAAGCTCTTAGGCTAGTTCTGGGTCCCATATTTTACGGTCTCTCTCCCTCCTGAGGGTGACTCTGTAGGGGTTACAAGCTTGGATGCAGTTTTCTTCATGCAGGGTCCAAGAAGGACCACGCATAAATACGGGCCAGACTGGGCTACTGCAGAGATCATCGGGAAGAAATTCAGGAAATTACAGTCAAAGCCATTCTTGTGACCACGTGAGAAATGTGATGATGTCTTCCATTTCAAATACTTATAAATTAAGATCAATATTCCCATATTTGGGCAGAACTGATGTATGATAAACATTGATGATGTGTTCAATCTAAGAGATGAAGCACCAGTATGGATTATATTTCGATAAACACTTTAAATAATATTGGAAAAAAACATGAAATCATCATAAAATCTGAAGTTCAATGTGATGGCCCGGTGACTGAGAATACTCATATGTCATCCTACACGGGACTTTAATGTGTTTGTCGCTGGGGAACCTCAGGTTATTGTTTAAGTTCTCAGCATCTGGATTTCTTTGGAGTGTTTCCCCTTTGATGAGAAAGAGCATTTTTTCTTTTCCCAGAGGAAAATAACTTTTGGGATTTATTTTGGAGTGTATAGGGAAATCAGCTATTTGTGATTTAATAGTTTATTTTTTATTATGAAGAAATGTATAAAGTGAAGAAATATATAGATGTAAAAAGTGTAGGCATCTATTAAGAAGTAAAAAAAAAACCTCTTCATACTCCCACTATCAAGAATCATTTTCATGAATTTCCATTCAGTTTCTTTTTCTATGCACTAAAAAATAGCATTGAGATGAAATTGCATAAATCATCATGAATTCTGCTTTTTTACCTAATATTATTGTAAGGTATTTTGTTCCATTTAAGACTAGTGGAATACATCTTTTCAAAGGATATTATGGGTATCGCCTATGGTATTTATTATATATATTTATATTTTCTAAATATCCACAATGAACCTTATGTTTTAAAATTTTTTAACTTACCCTTAGGTCCAGGAGGCCCAGGGAATCCAATTCCTGGAATTCCTGGTTCACCATCAGGCCCAGGAACACCTGGATTATCACATTTTCCTGGGAGTCCAGGGAAACCTTAAAAACACATCCACATCCACATCAGCCACTTCTCTTTATCTTGCCTTCAAACAAAACGTCTAAGTTTCTGCGTCATCTCAGACATTTTTGGAAATTAAGAAATAATTTTAACATAACCCTGACTTCTTCCCCATTTCTACCCAATGGACTAATCATTAGGAACTGCCAATAATTCCGAAAGTATAACTACTAAAAAGAAATATTCAAGATATCTTGAACTATGCACACAAAATTAAATTTTAGATCATGTTGGCAAAGAAGTTACATTTTTCATGTGAAGAAGCTGTGGGTACTATCCTGATCACCCACTGGCAACCATTCCTTGTTCCGCCACCAAAAAATCCATGAAGATTGTTCTGCTCTCAAGTTCCTCTTAAGTAATTATATATCAATTCTCTTTTCGAACCAGAAGCCCCAATGGGAATGATTTGGATAACTTCAAAGGACAACGGCAAGTCCCCTGCCTATGGGCTTTGTATCTGACACTCTGGCCTGTGCTGTCTTTGGGAGCCAATGAATTTATTTTTCCCTTATTGTGGGGACAGTGTTTTTCAAGGAGAGACAGGGTACCGTCTGATACCATGCACAAGACTTTGCAAAGCGGATACTCACCAGGTGGACCTCGGGGGCCAGCATGGCCTGGAGGCCCTAGAGGTCCTGGGGGGCCTGGGACTGGTGTCGAAACGCTGAATTCTCCCCTAGGACCTTAATAAAATTTATGATCATAACATTAATGTGCTTCTTGAAGCTTTTCTTGGTTCAGGGGGAAAATATAATAGATGATATGATAATAAAGCGTTTACAGACATATTCCAAGGAATATAAAAAATAGTCTCTGCTTACATAGGCTTTAACACTGGCTGAAAGATGACCAACCCATAGAAACTTCCTTATTCAATTGACAAGTATTTATTAGCGTCTATTATTGTCTAAGGCTTGTTTTAATTAATAGCCCAACATACTAGTCTATTGCAAAAGAGCCTATTTTAAAAAAAAAATTAATGATATGAATTCAGCTTAAAAATTGGTGAATACTGGTAGGATATTTACTAGGTGACTAGTTTTCCTAGGAAGAAAGTATGGTGTATTATGCAAATCATGAAATGTGGCTTGGCCTTGTTCTTTATAAGGTCTGTGAGCTGAGGGATATTTTTTAAACTTTCTATAAATTTCTCATGTGTCATTGCGGAAATAATGCCTATTCAGCTGGCAAAGATTTCAGATAATATTCTGACCACAATGGCCAATATTAAGAACATGTTCATGATAAGCATTATTAGTATTTCCATACATAAATTTCATATATTTACAGAAAAAGTGGGTTGACAATAGTGTAATGGGGACATTTGATGATAATATATTTTAGGACAATGGAGTCCTTCACTAAGGAGTCACCATTAGAAAGAACAGAAGAGGATTGAGTAAACTTTTTCTGCTAAGGGCTAGATAGTAAATAATTTAGGCTTTGTGGTCCAGATGGTCTCTGGCTTGACTACTCAACTCTGCCATCGTAGCATAAGAGCAGCCAAAAGAATATGCTCATGAATGAGTGTAGCTGTGTGCCAATAACACTTAATTTATGGACACTGAAACTTGAATTTCACAACATATTATTCAAAAGTTTTTTTTTCCAATCATTTAAAAATATAAAAAATGTTCTTAGCTTGTGGACCATACATAAATAGGCGGTAGGCTGGATTTGGACTGTGGGCTGCCATGGGTTCCTGGATTAGAAGAGCAGCCTTAAAAGTAAGGTACAGAAAAAGAATACACAGGTATATGTAACCATAAACTAAGTTTTACATACACACGTGGACAGAAACATATGTGTACGGTTTATAATATGTATGAATACTTTGGGATTGTGTACTCAAATTTTTTTTACTGATGAGGGATGCTATGAAAAGATTTGGAGACTACTAGTTTATTGGGTCTCACCGTTTAAAATGATTTTAGAAGTAGAAAATGACCACGGTAGCATTATTTACTTAAAACTGTCTGTAACGTGCAATTCTCGTCTGCCCTGTTCTTTGCCACAGGTAAATATCGAGGATCAGATTCCTCCTGTATCCAGCAACTGTGTTCAGCACAGGTGGATCCCAAAAGTTATAGGACTAAAACTATTATCAGACACTTTTCTTCATTCATCTTAGATATTTTGAAGTTTTACTTATAGAACATTTATTGGGTTATGGGTTAAAAAAAACAAAAACAAATTCGTAATAGCAGTGGATCTTTGACGCTTAGAAGAAGCATCTCAAGGTCAATGTCCTAGGTTTTTGCCTCCCCTTTGTTTACTGTAACTAACTTGGACTCATCCATCAGGATCCATTAATTCCATATATGTATATCAGTAATGGATACAGTCTACCTAGGAAATTTCAACTGAATTACTCGGTAATAGGGAGAAAAATAGACTTAATCTTACATGTCCCACATGTTTTTCCCGGTGTCTATGAGTTGACATATTCTACTTTAGAAGCAAGTTTCTATACATCCAGTGGTCTTGAGGGAGCTTCACCAGCTCTAGGAACCACCAACCCACTCCACAGGAAAACAGGACTGGAAAGAAAACTAACCAACCGGCTTCTCCAGGTAGTCCAGGGGCTCCAGGAACGCCTTGGGCACCCTTTGGACCAAGCTCTCCCCGTGGTCCATAGCCTGGTGGTCCAGCTGGTCCTGCAGGTCCTGGGGACCCAGGGATGCCAGGATCTCCTGGACGACCCTGGTCCCCCTTCTCACCACTGAGGGCCTGTGACAACAGGAATATGTGTGGATGGTGCTTCATTCCAGTATCTCCTTACACAGGTTAATATTACCACGAATAGGAATACCAGCCTTTGAGAAGGTCTTGGATTAAAAAGCGGTTGGCATTTGAACACGTGAGTTGCTAACATAAGAGCACTGTGGTTTCTGTGGTTTTGTGCCCTTTGGGATTCAGCCATATTTCATTAACTCGGAACGCTCTTGAGTCCCACTTGAGATGTCCTACAGTGGGATGCTACCCATATGATAATAGCTCCTAAAATGTAGCTCAAATTGGCCAAGAGTTCAAATGGCATTACGGGTTACATTCATGTTAATGGCACATTTCTAAACCAGTACAGCAAAGCTTTATTTGTTGGGTTTTCACCAGGCATTTTCATTACAAAAGAGATAGGCTTTAACTTTGAAAATAAATTGTATGTTTTGAAGAAATTGAATTTGACAAAATAATCGAAGTTCTCTTTCCTCTCCAACGTGGCCCCAAATAATAAATTTGACTGGATTTTTCATTGTTTATATCATTTGTGGCTAAGTGGTCCTTCTTCCTTTACAATGACAGAGCATAACAAACAACACATCACCTTGATTTTCTCCTTTACTTTCTAAGACATCTTTACCAACTCTGTTAATACTAGACTCAAAGCACTCTAGCTCTGTTCCTCTTTGCGTAACTACTAACTAGGGGACTGCCTGGCAGTTTGCCAAAGGAGGGTCTGAGAAACATTGGCTATGCTAGCTATTCCTAGCCAAAAAGTGCTTTGTAGCCAAAAAGGTTTAGGAAAAACTGCATACCATATGTACATGTAGGGAGTCACAATTCGTATTCTGGCATTAAAGAGTCTGTAAATGAATCTTTAAATTTGTTTGCCACGGTACCCTGTTCAAAGGGACTTCTTTTATTGGATAACACTGATTAACCCTGGGAGAAATTGTTATTTTATAGAACAGGCTGGGCAGTATGCCTTGCAAATTTCTTACAGAAAAATATATCCTGGTAGGAATTTTTCAACTGCACATGTGAGAGATTCTAGCCCATGAAAAGAGATTAAATTTACATAATCTTCAATATTGTGAATGACAAAATATTTGATCTCTTTATTTGACTTCACCCCTAAATAGTCTGTCCTTTTCCACACTTATTTTTACTTGAATGGACATTGTCTCTCCCCCCAAATATTGGCTGAAACTTTCCATTATTAATCATTTTCTGAACTTCTTTAAAAACTCACTTGACACAAATGTAGAATTGCAACTTGTGTATGGGACAAGGTCCTTATCATCATAGAATTTTCTTGGGGCTAAAAAGATCATTAAGTATTATCTATTTATTTGTCAAAATACTATAAATCTTTGCTCCGGTTTGAAGATGCCTCATTCTGCAGTTAGGGGGACGAACTGTGATGAGTAGCCAAGTTTTTGAAAGGAAATCGCCTTGTCTTAACATCAGAGCACTTCATTTACAAGGAGGGTAATTTAAAAAAAGTTACTAGATACCAACCGGTTCACCTTTAGGTCCTGGTACTCCCTTTACTCCGGGGGTTCCAGGAATTCCATCTAAGCCCCTTCTTCCTGGCTGTCCTCTGGGTCCCGGATCCCCCGGGGCACCTACTTGTCCTTCTGGCTGAGATGCTTCACCTTTTTCTCCTTTAAGTCCTGGATCACCCCGAGCACCTGGGAATCCCTAGAGTGGTACATAAATGAGTCTACATTGTGCTTGGGCAAAGTTGTTCTTGTGGCAATCTCAAAAAAAGAAAAAAGTAGAAACAAGAAATTTTCAATTTTCATGAACATGTTTTTTTTTTTTTTTTTTCCAGAAACTTTCTTTGGCACACAAGTATAATTTTCAGCTTTTTTCCTTTTTGCTTTGTTTTTGCCTCCAAAACTGGAAAAGAATTCAGTTAGTACAACTCAATGCAACATACAATAATCTAATTCAATATGCTACAACTATGATCATAATTCAGATTATGTTAGAATATTGATAAATTTTAACATGCATCTCTGGATAATTTCATTGAAATATATTTATCCACAAATACCTTTCTCATTCACTATGATAATCAAATTAAAAATTTTAACCCCTTGATTGAGGTGTAACTTACACACCATAAAATGTATCCTTTGTAAGAATACCATGCAATGATTTTTAAAGTAAATTTATACATTTACGCTACGATCCCTACAATTCAGCATTAAGCCATTTCCATCACTCCTTCAAATTTCCTCAAATCCATTTGTGGTCAATCCCAGCTCAGCCTCAGCCCCAGGGATCCACTGATCTGCTTTCTGTCTCTGATACTGTTTAAAATGATGATAAATTCATTAGTTCATTCACTTATTCACTCACACATCATTCGTTTATTTATTTAATCAACAAGTATCTGTAAAGTGCCTCTTCTTTGCCAGACACCAAACCGATAACCTATATGCGATGCAACTGTATTTTTTCCAGTGCTTCCATTTTCCAGATTGCAACTAAAGCTTCAAAACCATGAACTCTTACTGGAAATCCTGGGAGACCCACGCTTCCTGGGGACCCTGGGCTTCCTTTAATGCCAGCTTCCCCTCGTCCGCCTGCAAAGCAGTGAATTATTAAATATTCATTGAACGCCAGCTCTGAGCAGCCAGGGCAATGCGGTATATGAAGGAAAAAGGGCGTTTTCTTCTGAGGAAAGAAAGACAATTTCTATCTTAAAACATGCAGCGCAAGAAGAGCATGAGACTTAATAACTGGAACAAGAGAAAATGTAAAAAAACAAGAACTCTTACAAATTTTTAGCTTCCTAAAATTCTTGTCTTTGTAATTTTAAGGAGATACTTTAATTTTTTTCTGATGATAAAAGTAACATATTCTCATTGTAAAAAAATTAAACAGAAAAAAGAATGAAAATCACCAATAAAATCTACCTCTAGAAGGTGATATTTGCTAACATTTTCATGTATATTACTCATAAAACTTATATCCATAAATGCATAGGACGTATACACATTTCGTAATCATACTGTATATATGTCAATAAATATAGATTTATAGCTTTACTTTAAATGGGTGTATAGTAGCCTATTGCACAGGTGAACCATCATTTATTCAGCTAACTCAAGGGTTCCCGGGCCGCAGACCGGGCTCGTCCGTGGCCTGTTAGGAACTGGGCTGCACTGCAGGAGGTGAGTAGCAGCCCAGTGAGTGAAACTTCAACTGTATTTACAGCTGCTCCCCAGCGCTAGCATCGCCACCCCAGCTCCACCTCGAATCATCAGGCATTAGATTCTCATAGGAGCACCGGTCCCTGGTGCCACAAAAGTTGGGGATCGCTGAGCTAACTGTTGTTCTGTTTTCAGATATTTAGATTGGGGTTTTTGTTTTTGTTTTTTGTTTTTTCAACTTTAACAGTTACAAACTATGCTATGATAAATATCCCTGGATATTTAGTTTTCTAAATTTATCCAACTGTTTTTTTTTACAATAAATTCCTAAAAGTGTCATTGCAGGACAGAACAGGCACAAACTTTTCTGAGGCTTTGGATATCTGTTGCCAAATTGCATTTTGCTGTACAATTTTATCATTCTTATAGGTATTTAAGTATCTCTGTAAAGATCTCTTTACGGGATTTTCTGTATGGATCTCAAGTCAGTGTACTAACACGTGCCTATTCAGATTTTATTTTTTGCAAGATTTGAGCCAGGATATATATTCGGACAGTTTTATCATCTTTGAGCTATACCTGTCATATGTCAAGTGTAGAAAAACCAAAGAAAATACAACAGTACAGCTAGTGGGTCAGCAGCAGTGAGCCGCTCACATGCATTCCGGGCTTGGGCCAGCGGTCACTCAAGGCGAAGGCAGGAAAATAATGATCGCT